TTATCGTCGGTTCATACCAAATTGCGCTACCATCCTCCAGCCACTGACGAACCTGCTGCAGAGAAGAAACAAGGACATCTCTTTGGAGGAGATGCTCTGCACGCATTCCATACAGCGAAGGCTGCATTGGCGAATTATACCAGGCTCTCGCATATCAACGACGATCCAGAGACACGACTATTCCTGACAACCGACGCATCCGACGCTGGTGTGGGCGCGGTGGTTGAGCAAGAGTTCAACTCACAACGCGAACCCATCGCATTCTTTTTCAGCCAAGCTTTCGCCAGCCCAGAGAAAATATAGCACCTTCTCCCGAGAGCTGCTGGCCATTTATCTGGCCGTCAGGCATTTCAGGCACTTACTGGAAGGTCGAGATTTTACCATCTATACCGACCATAAACCGTTGACAACCGCGATGAGTAACAACTCTGACAAGTATACAGCTCGCGAGATCCGGCATCTCGACTACCTGTCACAGTTCTCGACCGATATTCGTCACATAAAGGGAAGGACAACGCCGTCGCAGACACATTATCGCGAGCGGAAATTCAATCTCTTCAGACCGGCGTCTTGGGTCAAGATTCCATAGCCGCTGAACAAAAATCCGACCCCACGCTGCAAGACGTCCTTTCGAATACTTCTTTAAAGCTTCGGGAGTTCCCTGCATCCTTCAGCGACGACACCCTGTACTGTGACACCAGCCTAGCAAGCCCTAGGCCCTACATCCCACCGACACTTCGGAGACAGGTATTCCAACATTTCCACGGGCTGTCTCATCCAAGTAAGCGAGCTACGGTCAAACTTATTACCGACCGATTCGTTTGGCCCAATATGAATGCGGACATTCGAGAATGGGTTTCCACGTGCATGGAGTGCCAGAAGTGTAAGGTCCACCGACACACTAAATCCCCGTCGGCACCTTCAGCAGTCCCGATGCACGGTTCTCACACATACATGTCGACTTAGTGGGACCGCTTCCGATGTGTCAGGATTACCAGTATCTTTTGACGGTTGTGGATCGTTTTTCGCGGTGGCCGACCGCCATACCTATAAAAGACACTTCTGCTAACACAGTCTCTAGGACCATCCTGAAAGAGTGGATTGGAACTTTCGGCACGCCCCACGTTATCACGACCGACAGGGGGTCACAGTTCCAGTCGTCCCTTTTTTCGGGAGTTTACCAACCTACTTGGCGCCAAGCACATAAAGACTACCGCTTATCATCCGTGCGCCAACGGCTTAGTTGAGAGGTTTCATCGGTCCCTTAAAACCTCCCTGGCCACTAGACCTGACACTATCAATTGGGTGGACGACCTACCTTTAATTCTCCTAGCATTGAGGAACACCGTAAAGGAGGATTTAGGTTGTTCACCCGCCGAACTGGTTTTCGGTACACCTCTTGCGCTACCCGGCGAATACTTCGACGACTCCCTTCAGACGTTTTCAAAACCAACATCTCCTTTCGTCGAGGAACTCCGCCACAAAATGGCCCGGCTTAAATATGCAACTCCACGACAGCAACCGGTGAATTCGTACATCCCTCAACACTTGCGAGATTGCAAATTCGTTTTCGTACGGAACGACGCCGTGAGACGACCACTCACGCCGGCATACCAAGGTCCTTTTCAGGTTCTTCGACGCACCGACAAGCACCTTACGATCAAGCGCGCCAACTCGACCGACACCATCGCAATCGATCGGACCAAGCCTGCTTTTCTGGAGAAGCGACAGTATGACGCAAACCCGGCTCTGCGGCCCCTAATGCTATTCCAGCGCACCCATCAGACGCAGCACCGCAGACATCAAACGACACCCCAGCGACTCCTGTGCGGCAGACCCGATCCGGTAGGAGGGTCACTTTCCCTAAAGACCTTCGTAAATATTATTATTATTAATTGATACGATCAATTTTCTAGGGGAAGGGCCTTGTCGCGGTCGCCGATTATCCGCTCCTTACAAAGCCGACCTTGACCTTCACAACTCTCGATCTCGCAGATCTAGGTCAAGCAACAGGCCAGAAACCGGACGGCTAGTCCAATATCGTTGATGTCAAACCATACCTAGTACGCATCTGACTATGCTGAGCCATTCTAAACATCGGCAACCATAGACTATAATTTATTATCTACGGCCTTCTACTCCTCTAGCCAGGGAGTACTTGAACAAATCTTTGCAAATATCCTTAGACACTTTTTTTCCCCCAAACTAGGCAGCTCGGCCCGGAGGCCTGGATCAAAGTGTAGTACACTACCTTTGTGAACTTCCGGTGCTTTTGTCGAGAGTGTTACTCTTCGGCGCGATCCCGTCTCCACGGTCGATCCGCCCTGGAAGGTGTAACACCTCTCTGACCTACCTCGCCTGGTGATACACTCTGGCGCGATCCCGTTTCCGCGGTTGATCCGCCCTGTGGAGTTGTATCACTGGTCTGCCTTGGCCCTGTTTAGGGACTCCGTCTTCGCCTGGTGATACACTTTGGCGCGATCCCGTTCCCGCGGTCGATCCGCCCCGTGAAGTAGCATCACTGGTCTGCCTTGGCCCTGTTTAGGGACTCCGTCTTCGCCTGGTGATACACTTTGGCGCGATCCCGTTCCCGCGGTCGATCCGCCCCGTGAAGTAGCATCACTGGTCTGCCTTGGCCCTGTTTAGGGACTCCGTCTTCGCCTGGTGATACACTTTGGCGCGATCCCGTTCCCGCGGTCGATCCGCCCCGTGAAGTAGCATCACTGGTCTGCCTTGGCCCTGTTTAGGGACTCCGTCTTCGCCTGGTGATACACTTTGGCGCGATCCCGTTCCCGCGGTCGATCCGCCCAAGTAGCATCACTAGTCTGCCCCCTGTTTAGGGACTCCGTCTTCGCATTTCGGCCGAACCAACTACGTTCGCCGACCAATCCTAAACTACCGGGCCAGACCAGCTACTTTCGACCAGACCAGCTACGCTCACCTACCAATCCTAAACTACCAGGCCAGACCAACTACATTCGACCGGACCAGCTACATTCTACCGAACCAACTACGTTCGCCTACCAAACCTAAACTACCGGGCCAGACCAACTACCGGACCAGACCAGCTACAATCGACCGAACCAGCTACGTTCGTCGATTAACCAGTTTTCGGACCACACCGATGTAAATGTGTGAATAAAAACGACACTTTTGTTCATAACAAAAACCTTTGCCTTTGTCCCGTCATTGTCTTGGCTGTTCACATTTATCGTATACTTAAAAAATACCTATTTTAATAAAATATATTGTATATTTTTTAGTTTCCACAGGAAATCATAAATATTTCTTTGTGAAAAATTGACATTACAGTATGATTTTAAAACTCTTTCATATCTTGGTTGTTGCTGATAAATTTGATAATGTGCTTGAAGCTTGAAGAATGTGAAAAATGTTAAATTTAATGCTATTTTCGAGTGTGAACATTTTTTTTTTTTTATCTGACAACCGTTTTAATTTTTACTCAACAGGTCAAAAATGAAAATAAAAATAGATTAGAAATTATGACCCGTGATTTTATTTATTTAGTTAGTTAGTTAAGAAGAAGGTACCTCTACTTTTTCGCGGAAAAAACATATATGATGAAAAAAAAAGAAAGACCCCAAACTCAATACACTAAAATTTCGAACCTGGTAGAAAAGATTAAAAAAAATACTTTGGTCTTTCCTCTTAAACATTTTGATGACAAAACTTTGTTTTTATTGAGTTTGGGGTCTCGAAAATAGCATTAAATTTAACATTTTTCACATTCTTCAAGCTTCAAAACAAAGTTTTGTCATCAAAATGTTTGTTAAGAGGAAAGACCAAAGTATTTTTTTTAATATTTTCTACCAGGTTCGAAATTTTAGTGAAAAATCTTGTTTTGTTTACGTCAGCGGCCGACGTAATGATAAAGTTTTAAAAAAACAAAGGTTTTTTTTTTGGGGGGGGCGCTCTTTTCCGGTGAAATTCTTGCAAAAATCAAATAATTGTCAGATTCTAATGAAACATTCAGGACATATTCAAAAATGAATTAAATTATTTTTGAAATAGGGATGGAACTCAGTGTTGGAGATACATCATTTTTCAATTCATTTGCAGCTGCTAAAGCTAGAAGAAAAAGTAAAAAAAAAAAAAAAATGAAAAGTTACCAATCCACTATGAGCAGTTGTGGAAAAGAGACAGAACAATTGCTACAGCTCAGAAGAGAATGACGAATCGCCAGTTCAATCCTGACATAAAGTATTTTTTTTTTATTATGAGTTTGAGTAGGCAGGACTTGAACACCATGGATTCTGTGGTCTGTGACTGTCTTCTTCAGTGGGTGCACCTGAAAGTAAAATTATTTCTAAATTTACGCACGTTTTTTTATTTAATGCAGTGAAAAAAACGCTATTATACTTTTCTTTCCTATTTAAATTGAAGAAGAAATAAAGATAAGAATCATTACTTAAAAAAAAGCAAATGACAGTTTGAAAAATACTCTTTTAAAACGAAGTTCTGAAAAAAGTCCATTTTTTTTTTTTAGTAACCTTCATGAATTAATTTGTAATGAAACTTTAGGGAAAAAAAACTTATTTCAATGTTGCATAGCCTATCATAGAAACCAAATTCGTCTTTGGGGGGGGGGGTTCTAATCACGTTTCTTTGTGTTAATTGAAATGCTGCTCTCTTTTACTGTTTTCGTTAAACCAGTCAAACCAATGTTGATATACTTTACTTCAATCCACGTGTTTGCAGTTGACGTCATCACTAGGGTAAACAAATTCTCGGAAAGACCCGGATGTGATTTGCAATTTTATTTTCTAATTCTTAATCTTAAAGTACATTCTGATGATAGTATAATTAAAGTGAATTGGCAGAATAAATAAAAATGTCTTTTATTTAAAAATTATTTAAAAATCTTCAAATCTCGTCAGTCTGAGATCGGTAGCGAGTGGTGGTACTACGCCATTTTGCATGTTTGTTAATAACTTAAAGGAATAATAAGTTAAAGGGGGAAATTTTTACTGGCATTAAAAATGTCCGAAACTTATGGTGAGTAAGAAATTTTAACAGTTATTATTAAAACAGCCGATGCACTGAGAATTCAGCTGGTCATAATAGCATTTTAGGAGTGTGACAATGTATAAAACGTTTTTTTGTTGTCTTTTTTTTCCCTTTATTTTTTTTTTCATCTTCTTATCATGTTGTGTTGTGTATGGAAGTGAAACCCTTCCTTCCTGTCTTTAAAAATCCTGACAAATGATAGGGATTATTTGTTTATGATTTTAATTTCTAATACTCTTATCTTTGTCTATTAACAGTTCTTCTATCGGCTTTTTTCTATTGCTTCTTATTTTATTTAACACAGGCTTACACAGATTTCTTTTATTTTATTATAATTATGTCTCTCCATCACCGTCGTTGTGTCATCATAACATTTAAGCCTTTTTATTTATTTTTAGTTTCATATTTCCACAGAGTTTGTCTACCTGTCGATTGTCATAAATTTCTGGAAGTTTTCAACTCTTTTTTTTAAAATGAAACTTTTAATTAAGAAAAAAAAAACTTTAAAAAACCAATAAAACAAAAAAAAAAAAAAAAACTTATATATTTCGTGTTTCCGTATCTTCAAGTTTCCTCGCTGATAAACTTCAATTATTATTGGTAATAAAATCCTTTTTTAATTAAGCTTTGTTGCCTTAGTGATTACATTTTTTTTTCCTTCGGTTTCAATTCATCAAACATCAGATTTTCTGTATCGATGAGCTGTAGGTAATTTAACTTCGTAATTATCTAATTTTTATAAAATTTTAGAATTATTAATTTTTAAATAACTTTATCAAAAAAAAAAAAAAATGATTACATGAGCTTTTGATGGTTGGAATTGAACCCGTTCAGGCATATTTACCTTTTCTTAAAATTTTTTTTTTTTTTTTTTTTTTTTTAGCCTGTAACAGGTTTTTACATAAAAAATAAAAAATAAAAAAAAATGTAAAAAAAAAGTACTTTTTCTTTTATATTCTATGATTGCAACAATTTTTAAATATTTTTCTCTGCTTATCATGTGATAACTAATTTTGTCAAAAAAAACCTTTATTGTAAAAAAAAAAAAATAATGCAAATTAACCTACTCTTCTTGTTCACGCTATCATTGATTTTACAAGTATTTAACATGCATTTTGCCCCCTTTTTATTTTACTTTTTTTTCTCTTTTAATTTATTCGCTAAGGTTTAGCTCATTAATTTAATACGGAGTAATAATCATTAGCTCGTATTAATGAGCATCACTAACCCATTAATGTAAATTATAATATAGTGATAGCAGTCTCGTTTATTTTTACAGTTTGAGGGTGGGGAATGAGGGTGTTACTGGTTTTGTCTGTCTGCGACAAAATGATTTACTATATAACTTGGTGCGATCGCTGTTTTTCTTTTTTTTTTTCTTTTTAGTGTTGGTTGATGCAGCAATATGACCCAAATAGATATTGATTGTTATACTTAAATTTATCTAAAGCTTTTAACGATATCGTATAGTTTTCGTATAATAGCGCATTTTATTCTCTCGCTCTCCTGAAATGATAATCATTTCCACTTGAAATACACATTTACTTTTTATTATTATTATTACTTACTACTTATGGTCTTGTGATTTTATGCGAGAAAAACGAATGACAATATTTATTTTGTATGACTTGCTAAGTTGATGACAGATGCTTTCTTCTTTGTATATGGTGGATATTAAAATACGAGTTTCGCTTAACTTTTTTTTTTTTTTTTTTTGTTCGGTTACCAGAAACCAACACCCCTCCCAAAAAGCCCCTGGGCATGGCTGTCTATCATTTTGTTGTGATCCACATTGTCATAAAAAGTGATTATTTTTCTTAGCTTGCCTCATTACGCTGCGCCTTGGTGACAATGATTGACAATTGTTTTGGGTTGGAATAAAAAAAAAAGCAGATTTTTTTTTTTTTTTTTTTTTTTTTTTTTAATCACAAAGTACGTCATAGCAAGAGAAAGCATGCTTTGTAATTGTCACATGACCACGTTATCGTAATTCATACTGAATACAAAATAACTATGGGTTATAAAGCAGTCGAGTTTTAAAGTAGATGTTAGTTACTAAGTTTTCAAATGTTCGATGTTTTTCTTTTTAGAAGTTGTTGCTAAAATAAAATCATTTTTACTTGCACTCATTTTGCAATAGTTCCTGTTCATTGTAGAAAATTTACACTAAACAGCCTTTAAAAACTGGTATCAGTATCACTAATTTTTAAGTTCTCATTTTTATTATATAAACGATTTTTTTTTTTTTTTTTTTTTTTTTTTTCAAATTGAATAGTATCTTGTTTGACTGAGTCAAATTTTACATACGAAATATAATCTAAATAAAAATACACATGTTCCAGTTTAGCAAGTTGTGCTTTTTGTTGTGAAAAGGAAATAATGACCTATTTTTAGAAATGTCCAGGTGAAAATTTGTTTTATTAAAACTTGTTTTTCTAGCAAAGGCAGTTTTTTTTCTCCCACTTCTGTTGATGGGTGTTTGATAAATTATTTAATTCCACAGAGGTGTGTTAGTTTCGTACATTCCTTCATTCAACTTTTTATTTTTTTAGACTTGTAGCTTTTTTTCTTTTAACAATCATAAAATATTTTCAACATTTATTGTTTCCTCCTGAATTACATAAAATATTCAGAATGTTAAAATATTCAGCTTCTGCTTCATTAATTTGAGATTTTTGTCAAAACCGATTTTAAAAAAAAAAAAAGTTTTTACAAAATGTATATTTTCCAATTTGTTTTTTTTTTTTTTTTTTTTTTATTGGATTATCTCTCAGGTTGTTTTGACCACACCGCATTAAACTTTTGATGTCTTTCTTCATACTTTTTTTTTCGGAACCAAGAAATGTTTGTTTTCCACGAGAAAAATTCTAAATAAAAACATAACTCGGATGTTTTTATTTTTTTGATATTATTTTTAACTTCAAATTTTAGAAAGTGAGTATTGTTGTGAGTTTTCTATACATTTTTTACAAAAATTAAATTGTAATAAAATTATTTTGTAACAACCTGATTGCATAAAATCCCATCTAATTTTTACTTAAGGTAGGTACCTAAAAATTTTTTAAAGCAATACTCAAGTTTAAAATGCTTTGTTTTTTTTTTTTTTTTTTTTTTAAATGAAAATTTTTGGAGTTTTAAATTCCAGACTAATTAAAATTAGGTACCTCTAGAGATTCAGTAAAAATTTAAAAAAGGAAAAAAGTGGGGAGGTGCTCCAGACTTAAAAACAGTTTTATCTTCAAATTTTGAAACGCCAAAGGATTTTTAGTTTAATTAAAAATTAAATTACTTTTTCTTCTTTCCTTGCGTCAGCGGGTGACGAAAATTTTTGCGGTAAAAAACACATTGGTTGGGGAATTCTTGCAAAAAAAGTAAATTGTTGAATTTTAATATAACTTTCAGGATTTAGTCACAAATAAATATTTAATTTTTTTTTTTTTTTTTTTTTTTTTTTTAGTTCTTAGCCCCCCAAAAAAAAATCGTTTAACTTTTAAAAATTTGGAGAAATTATTGTGTGACACTGCTTAATGCTTATTAGCATTTTTTTTTTTTTTTTTTAAATCAGCATTTTTTTTTTTTTTTTTTTTTTTCTCTAAAACAGTATTCCCAGTTACCAAAAATCTGCTCTGGATTGTAAAATAAAAATATACAATAAAAATCTAAGACCTTATTTAATTAGAAAAGCTTTTAATTGCTTTTATGAATAAAATACAGACATTCATACACAGCATTATCAGAAACAATAATAAATTTAAATCTAAAATTCAATAAAACATTATTACTAAGAATATTTTCCTAAATTTTAAAGATTATTGGATAGTTAAAGAATTATATAAAAGTTGCGCTTGTTATATTGATTTTTACAGATATATCCCCCATAGAAAAAATAAGTTAAATTTCCCAACATCAGGAAGTCAGCACCTCATAAAATCATTCACCTCTATATTAAATGCTTTTCTGCAATATTTTAAACTAAAATTAAAAATTGTTTAAAATCAGATTGATTAAACTTTAAATCGGTTAATCTTTAAATAAGCTTTTAGAAAAGTATGTTTTATTTTTGAAAGATTTTTCAATAAAGAGAATTACTTCATGCTGAGATAATTGTAAATATGGCTAAAATCATCCATCAGCTCTTTTTTCTTTTTTTTTTTCTTTCCCCCTAATCAATTTAAATTTGTTGTAAAATTCAAATAAGTATTTTGCTTATTAGAAATATTAAATTTAAGCTTGAAAGTAAAACCAAAATAAAAGCTTGAAAGATCTTTCATTTTAAACTTTGGTATAGCTTTTCTTTGGAGGTACATAATTAAAATTAATATTCACAATAAGGAAGATACTTTGTATCTCAAACTAAATTTAAATTGATTGGATTTTTTTTTTTTTTTTTTTTTATTGATCAGTAAAATCAATGAATTGTCCATATTGACAGATTTGGCAACACAAAATTATTCTGTTTATTAAAAAAAATCTTTCAAAAATAAAATTTACCTTGTTGAAACATTATTTGAAGATGTTAAAAAAAAAAAAAAAAATCTGAATAAGCTTTTTTTTTTTTTCTTAAGAATTTCCAATTCAATGTTTTTTTTTCACTGCAAAAGTGCTCAAATTTCCTGCACAAACTTAAGCTCCCACGACTTTTTAAAACAAATTTCAAATATTCTAAAAAGGATTAAAATTTTTACTGTATCCACCTTCTGTCTTTAAATTTTTTTACAAACATTTAAGCAATCAGATAGCTGCGAAATAATTTTATTTCCAATGTGCCTTGTTGATTGTGAAGTGCATTTGATTTTTGATTTTTGATTTTCCTTCTTGTGCGAGACCCTAAGTTTTATTTGAGTCTAGTAAAAATAAAATGTGATTATCAATTTATTACCATCGAAAGGACTGAATCTTCAATAAATCTGTACTATTTTTCTTTTCTTTTTTTCTTTCAGTAGCCAGGTTTTGTTTTCTATCTCTTATTCATAAAGATTTTCACATAA